GTTTTCTTTTCCTTGGAGTGCATGAGTCTTTCAGCTACAGGAATGAAAACAGAGCCATCCAGGAAGAGCCTGGCAGCTCCACACCCCTCCTGGCGGCCTTGATCCTCTCCTGACCCCAGGCAGCTGGACAGAAAGCTTCTGGGACCCCTAGTGCCATGGCCATAGGTCAGGAGACCAGAGCTGTAGCCCTGCTCTGCAGAGTCCCCTTGCGTCAGCCCCACCAGGCCTGTCAGCAGTAGACTGTCTTGCAGCCTTGGAACAGGTAGGGGGTTGGTCAGTTGTCCCTTGGGTAAGGAGCAGCCTGTGCCTTAGGCCTCCAAGGAATCCTTGGGTGGAGGAGGAGAGGGGCCAGCAGACCTGGGAGGAAGGACCCTCACCATGCTTTTCTGGTTTCCTGCCCTGGCTCTTTAAAGGGCATTTCTCTGCAGCTGGTAACACCTGGGGGTTCCACTCCAGGGCTGGTGACCTTCCAGAAAGGGCTAGTGGAGAATGATGCCATTCTTATTTGTCTGCAGGGTTATAGGCCCTGGGAAGCCCGGAGAAGGAAGGTGCTATGGGAACCATGGTCAATGTCATCTAAAAGTGTTTGTGCAGCAAGTCTGCGTGGGGATAGGGTGCCGAGTGGAAAGATCACTGGCTGAGTAGTCTTGGCCTTGTCCCATGAACTCATCAGATTGATTCCCTTTTCTATAAAATAGGAACAATGATAAAAGTATTGATGGGCAGGGGGATGATGTCAGGCATGTGACATTCTTTGCTATGTCTAAGGACAACGAAGATTCCCTCTCTCATGAAGGGAAGGAAAGTGACTTGCCCAGGGTAACCCAGCAAGTTCCAACAGGAGCCAGAACGTAGACCTCGCAGAGGTGATGGGGACTACACTTGTGAACAGGCCATTGCAGTATGCACAGCTTGACAAGTGCCTTGAAGGAGGAGTGGGCGAGACCCCCAGGCCCAGAGGAGGGAAGTGGAAGAGCCTCCTGAAGGAAGGAAGAGACCTTTGGGCAAAGCCCTGAAGGAGCAGAAGAGCTGGTCAGGCAGGAGAGGGGCTGATGCTGGCGTGGGGTAGACCAGAGGGCAGGGACTTTGAGATCCCAGGTGACATGACAGTTGATATGGCTGGAGGGAGAGTGCAGCAGGGGATGAGGGACCAGTGAGAATCAGTGAGACATGAGCTGCAGAGATAGCCAGGGCCAGATGGTGCCCTGGGCCCTCTGGGCCAAGTGAAGGGGTAGGGTTTTGTTCTGAGGGTAGTGGAAGAAGCACTGAATGGGGCCCCTAGGCTGGAACCAGTGGCAGGACCCAGATGTATTTTGTAGAAGCTCCCTCTGGCTGTTTTGTGAAGAAAGGATGCAGTGCTGTAGGAGAGAGGATGGTGGCCTGGGCTCCTGGAGGTAGAGAGATGGACATTGTTGGAGCACGTGCTGGATGGAGCATTGACGGTTGTGATGGATTGAATATGGAGAGTGGAGGAAAAGGAGCCACTGAAGATGAAGCCAGCCTGCCAGCCTGGCCAACAGCATAGAGGAGACAGGGACCCAGGAGGAGATGCTGGAGGTGGAGGGACTTGGAAACATGGTTCTGGGCACGTGGGTATGCGGCGCCTGAGGACCACCAGGGGAGAAGCGGGGCCAAGGGCAGTGGAGTGGAGGGCAAGGCACCCAGAGCTGTAGAGAGAAGGGGGAGCCATCACCGCCCAGGTGGAGAGTCCCAGGGGAAGGTGTGAGGTGAGAAGAGCCCAGGGTGGAACCTGGGGAGCGCCAGCATGGGAAGGGGTGCGCAAAGAAGGAGCTCGCAAAGGAGACAGCCATGGGCAGATGGGGGAAGGTGAAAGTCCTTTGGGTTTAGCAGCCTGTGGCCTTGGCCAGGACAGCCAGGCAGCAGAGCTGGACTGCATGGGCCGGGCAGCATGGAGTGATGAGGGGGTGTTCACAGCAAGCGTGACAGCCTTCCAGGTTTGGGCTGTGCCGGAAAGCAGAGGCAGCCGGAACTGGAGAGGGATTGGGGTCTGGGGGGACTTTGGGGTTGGTTGGCTTGTGATGGGAGAGAGCCAAGCCTGTGTCTGTGGTGGTGGAAGGTGCCAGGAGAGGACAGCTGATAGGGTGGGCCCTCTGCGCAGGCAGGAGGGGACCGATCCTGAGCTGGATGTGGGGTCGGCCTCAGGTGGGAGGAGTTCCAGACCACACTGACAGACAGCAGCTGCACACCTGTCCCTGGGCTGGGCCCTTTGGGCACCACAGACTTGGACAAGCCCTGGTCCTGGTCTTCAAGGAGCAGAGAAGCCACAGGCTCCAGGTCGTTTGACCAGGGCTGCCCTCTGAGAAGGTCTGGGCCCTCAGCAGCCATCCTCCTCGAGCTCCCTGTGACATTCAACTCTGCAGACCTCCTCCTCCTCCAAACCCTTCCCTCTTGGCTTCCAAGCCGCAGTGCTCTCCTGGTTCCATACATCTCTGACCTTTCTCTGTTTGGGGGCGGGTTTTGGTGCCATTTTTCCTGCCCACCCTTACATTTGGGTGCCACCCAGGCCTCTGTCCGTGGCTGTTCATGCTCTCTTGTATGGTCATCTTCCTCTTCACAGATCTGCTCGTCGTCTCCTGAGCCCAGCAGACTTCTGTCTTTCTCACGGGCATCTCACACTAAGCAGTTAAAACTTGGGTCCTCCATGGCTTCCCTCCAGTGGTGCCTTGTGAGCTACCCAAGTTGAAAACTTTGATATTTGTTTCTCCCTCATTCTGACCCCTGCCCCATACAGATGGCCACCCGTGTGTCACGGTGTATCACTGTGAGTGTGAGGGTGTTGTGTGTGTGCGTGAAGGTGTGCTTATGGAGGTATGAGTGTGTGTGACTGAGTGTGAAGGTGTTGTGTGTGGGGTGTGAGCATATGTAAGTGTGAGGGTGTGTGATTGTGGGGTGTGAGTGTGTGTAAGGGTGAGGGTGTTGTGTAATTGTGGGTGTGTGTGAGTGTGAGGGTGTTGTGTGATTGTGGGTGTATGTGTATGTGAGGGTGTTGTGTGTGGGTGTGTATGACTGAGTGTGAGGGTGTTGTGTGAGGGGTGTGAGCATATGTAAGTGTGAAGGTGTGTGATTGTGGAGTGTGAGTGTGTGTGAGGGTGTTGTGTGATTGTGGGTGTGAGTGAGTGTGAGGGTGTGGTGATTGCGGGTGTGTGTGTGTGAGGGTGTTGTGTGATTGTGGGTGTGTATGAGGGTGAGGGTGTTGTGTGATTGTGGGTGTATGTGTGAGGGTGTTGTGTGATTGTGGGGTATGAGTGTGTGTGAGGGTGAGGGTGTTGTGTGATTGTGGGGTATGAGTGTGTGTGAGGGTGAGGGTGTTGTGTGATTGTGGGGTATGAGTGTGTGTGAGGGTGAGGGTGTTGTGTGATTGTGGGGTATGAGTGTGTGTGAGGGTGAGGGTGTTGTGTGATTGTGGGGTATGAGTGTGTGTGAGGGTGAGGGTGTTGTGTGATTGTGGGGTATGAGTGTGTGTGAGGGTGAGGGTGTTGTGTGATTGTGGGGTATGAGTGTGTGTGAGGGTGAGGGTGTTGTGTGATTGTGGGGTATGAGTGTGTGTGAGGGTGAGGGTGTTGTGTGATTGTGGGGTATGAGTGTGTGTGAGGGTGAGGGTGTTGTGTGATTGTGGGGTATGAGTGTGCATGTGGGGTGTGGGGGTGATCGTCCTGCTGCTGCCTGCAGGCTCCCTATCTTAGAGTCCCTCTTTCAAGCCCATCCTTGTGGCATCCTCTTGGCTGTGTGGTGATGGCTCCAGCAGATCAGGATTGAGTCCCCACGCTGTCACTTCCTTACCTCCGTTCAGACACCTCCCTGCCCCACTGCGCTCACCCCCGGAGTTTGGGTGCTGAACCCACTGGGCCAGGGTGTGTTGTGGGGTGTGAGTATGGGACACGGGCAGCTCTTGCTGGGACTGGAAAGGCGTGCTCGGCCAGCGGGGGCCACAAGTCCTCCGGAGTGCCACTCCAGCCGATCCACAGCCTCATGAGGCAGAAATCTCTTCCTCCTGGAAGCATGCCTGGGTTTCCTCTCAGCCCCGTCGCCCACCATGGCCTTCCCCATCCCCGTCTGGAGACTTGTACATTTATAACATTAGACCAACAAGACAGTTTGATAATGATCCTATTGAGCCTGTGGGACTCATGGGTTTCCTGAGCATTCTGATTCAGGTCTCGGGGTAACTGTGGCTCTAGCCCTAGCAGGTGGGCTGGGCACCCCACGAGGCTTCTGAAAGCTAGTGGCACTTCCTAATGTAGCCCCAAGTGATGAGGCAAGGTGGCTGGGGATCTGGGTCCTGCAGAGCTTCCTGCCTGAGGTGGGGGTGAGGGAAACGGCACCGGGCTCCTGATTTCCAAACTCCAAGACCAGGGAAATAATGGTGGTCCCTGATACCTCCCCTGACATGAATGCCGGGGGGCTTCCTGGCAGGCTGCTTTACTATTTACTCCCACACGTGGGAGGTGGGCAGCTTTGGGGCAGGGCAGTTCGGATCCTGATTCTGTCCCTTTCTGGCGGCAGGATGTTGGGCAAGTCTCTCACCCCCTTTGAGCTCAGGGTCTTGAGGGCTCTTCGTTGTGAGGTGATTGTGATCTAATTCTGATAAAGAGCTTGGCACAGAGTGAGCACTTGGTAAATGGTAGCTGCTAGAGCTGCTGCTCTTATAATTTCTTTACTCTCTGTTTCTCTGGTGGCCTATGGTGGCTGTTCTTTGTGGCCAAATCCGTTGCTGGGGCTGGCTCTGGGAACCTGAGGCTTCATACCCCCTGCAGGAAGCACCAGCATCTGCTGCCTCTGGAGGAGGAAAGAAGGTGCACCCCCCTGTCCAAGGTCCCTGGTGGATCCCAGGGCGACTCGGTCCAACCACCCCCGTGGCCCTGTCTGGTTCCGCGTCCTCCACTCCCAGAGTCCGCCACGGGCTGGATGAGCTAGGAAGCGCGTGCATCTTCTGAGGTGGGGACCTGCCTCTTCTCCTCCTTTTTTTTTTCTCCTTTACTATGACGCCTGTCGCTCATAGGTACAAATCAAACGAAGAGTATGTATATGTGCGAGGCCGCGGCCGAGGGAAATATGTTTGTGAGGAGTGTGGAATTCGCTGCAAGAAGCCCAGCATGCTGAAGAAACACATCCGCACCCACACTGACGTCCGGCCCTATGTGTGCAAGCACTGTCACTTTGCTTTTAAAACCAAAGGTAAGAGACAGTCAGCTGGGGCACTGCCCCTGCCCAGTGCAGGGAACTCCCCTCTGGGAGCCCCAGCACAGAGCTCAGGGGCCCAGACCTCTTTGCCAGGGGCTGGTGCACCCTTCTTCCTGGGTTCCCACCCCACTTGGCACCCAGTGGCAGAGCAGCCAGCTCCAGACGGGGCAGTGGCACCCCATGGCTGCCCACAGCCATCCTCCTGGATCCCGCACACAGCCCCCACCTCAACCCTCCTGGAGACACTGTTGCCCACAGCTCCTGGTTTTGTATTTTCTCTCATCACCCCTTCCTTCTGCATGTCTCCTTAGCCGTTTATCCACTGATCTGATGGACCCCAGCATCCACACTTGTCACTGCCACTCTTGCGTTTGGAAATCCATTCCACTCCGAGCCACTTAACACACTCGCATTCTCACTTCTCATGCCAGAGTTCACCCCTGCCTCCACCCCGCCTTCCCACTGCCACCGTGTCCCTACTCTGCCCAGTTTCTCTGCAGCTCTACAGCACAGGGCCCTGCTCCCCCAAACTCCTGCCCCCGGCTACACCCCGCATCAGGGTCAGGATGGGCTCTGCAGTCGCCTGTGGTGGCAGGGACGGCCATTGAGGGCTTGCATCCTAGAGGGCTGTGGTGGATGACGATGGTGGCCCGGCCTGCTGCAGTGACCCAGCACCCTGATGTGGGCAAGAGAGCTAGTCCCTGCGATCGTGAGCCAGCTCTTCTGTAGGACAGCTGGGGAGGGCCCTTGAAGCTTGCTCATTGCTTCTTGGTAGCTGAGCAGACTGAACGGCTCGAAGGGAGGCCCAGGGATCTCGGCACCCCCAGAGGCTTCAGCCTCTTTTGCTTTGGAGATTCTTGGGTCAGGGTTTGGACATAAGGGTCCTGCCTTCTCCTTGGAGCCAGTTGGGGGCCACCATGCTGACCCCACAGGAACCACGTGGTTTTTCATGGGACAAAACTTGAGGGCAGACTTTGGCTTTGCCACTGGTGGACCTTCCTTCAGTTGGTAAAGCTGCTCGCAGTGAGAGAGGCTGGGCAGCCGTCTTGGCAGGGGCACAGCGAGGTCCTCTGGCCTTCCTCACTTCCTCCGTCCCCCCACTGCCTGGCCTCTCCCATTCTCTCTGTACCAGGTCAGGGGGCAATTTATCACATCCCCTAGCTCAGCAGCCTCCTCTTCTACTGTGTTCCTGCTTCTGGCCTCCTGACCCTTAACCAACCCCCGCCCTCCTCTGTCCTCTCACCATCATCCTCCAGTCGAGCTCAAATTTTCCTACTAAGATTTTGGTTTGGACGGAGGTGCCCACCCTCCCACTTGCTTCCCTTGATCCTCTTCTCTCTTAGTGTCTCATAAACAATGTCCCAAAGGGTGCCCAGAGAGGACAGATAGGCCCGGAGCCCCCACTCTCCCCTTTGATAGGAGCCCTGCCATATCCAGGGAAGCTCAGCCCAGAACACATCGGCCCTGGACATGGAGTCCGTCCCCTGCACGTCCCCTCCAATCCCACTTCCTCTGGCCTTAGGCAGCCAGTTGGCATTTTATGGAAGAAGGAGATGGGAATGATTGACAGACAATTTAAGTAACAGTCTTTGACTCCAAGAGTCACAAACTTCTTGTCCAAGCCCCCTTGAGCTGAAGACAGTGAGTCCCAGAAAACAGAAGTGCTCTTCCTGAGAGAGCTCATGGGCATCACCCCATCGTCTTCCTCTGTGTGCTTGAGCAGTCCTCTCCCCTCTCTGGATGGCTAAAGCTGCAATCAGATGGCCTCCACGGTGGGTGACACCTGCTGCCCCTATGCCCAGTGTTTGTGCAGGGCACCTCACTGTTCCATCTTCAGCGTGGAGAGCCTCGACAGACTCCCAGCCCAGGGCCATCAGAGCACACCTGTGCCCAGGACACAGCCCTGGGATGCCCACTCCCTCGGGGAGCCATCACTCTGCCATATGGGACCGGAAAAATCCATCCCGCTGAGTTCTCAGCCCAGGCAGTCTCCCCAAGGGGCCGCCACTCGATTCCCTGTGCCTTGCCCATTTTGCCAAGTCTGAAAGAGGTCTGAGTCCCCAGCAGGAAACTCCACTTTCCAGGAGGTGCCTTTGTTGGAAACCAAGCCATGCCTGTCTGCAGTCCCTTCCTGAGTCTCTCTGAGCCAGTACAGAGCCCTTGGATGGTCCAGAGTGTGTAGTCTGAGCAGAGGGGCAATAGACCCTCCAAACTTGCAGGGTGTGGAGTGTCCCCTGGGGGAAGCCACCCCCTGCTGCCCTGAAGGCCAGGCCTGTAAGGCTTCACTCTCAACTCATGATCAGGGAGTATGCTGAGCTCTTCCTCAGATGCTCACAGGGGCTTCCCAAGACAAAAACCTTCCAGAGCCAAAGCAGGGAGCAGATCTGAAACGGTGGAATCTCAAACTCTGTGACTAGCAGAGCAGGGGCCGGTGGGGGTGGTGGCCGACGGAAGCAGAGAAATCTCTCCCTCTGCTCTCTCTGCACCATGGGGAGTGAGTGCAGGGGCAGACACTGATGCCTGGTCTCTCCCCTGGCCTCTCCCTGGGAGCCTGTGTCTTCCTGGAGTGCTGGACCCTGGCAGCCATCAGCTCGGGTAGCACAGGCCTCCACTCATGGGCTCTCTGCCTCCCCATCAGGCGGCCCCCACCTCCTCCCTCCCCTCCCACCCTTGGGTTCTGGCCCAAGCCAGGCTGCAAGGGGGCTGAGCTGCGCCCGTGCCCGGGAGCCCTTCCTGTCTGTCTCTGTCTGCCTGTCTGTGTCTCGTCTCTGTGTCAGACGTCCTGGCACCAGCTCAGGCCTCTGGGAGCAAGCTGAGGAGTGTGTCTGTGGGTGAGCTGGGTGAGGCCTGCGGACGCCCCGTGGAGGTCGAGGTCCCGTTTCCTTTTCTCAGATGGTACCCAGAGGCCAGCAGGAGGGCTGTGCCTGTACAGGCCCTTGCGCCGATCACCTCAGGGGACAGAGATGGCAGCTGTGGATGGGCCTCACGCCCGTCAGGCCGGCAGGGTGGGGGTGGGGCAGTTGGTCAAAGTGAACGAGCAAGGCAGAGAGAGTCACCGGCTGATGCTGCTGGCAGGGTCTGCCTCTCTTCCAGACGCCCATCACTTGCCATCGTTCGCTCTCCTCCTTTGTTCCAGGGCTGAGGGCTTCTGGTGGGAGGCTGGGATGACTGTGAGAAGCTGTGGACTCTGCTGGGCAGGCCGAGGCTCTGCCCCTTGGCAGGAAGTGGCATCCAGGCTGCACCTGCGGCTATTTGGTACACCTCCCCAATTCACAGAGGAGGAGACTGGCCCAGAGAGGGCAAGTCATGAGGGAGCCAACCAGTGCTCAGTGCTGCTCATCCAGCATCCACTCCTGCAGCCCTCAGACTCCCTAACTCCTCCCTGCACCCCCCAGGGCAGAGGCAGAGGACAGTCAGTCCTAGTGGGCTCCCTGGTACCTTCTTCTGAGAGCCCCTGCAAGGTAAAAACCATTGCACCAGAGCATCACCTTAGCATCTCTCTCCTCCACGCTCCAGCACAGTGCGTGGCACAGTCCCTGGGGGTTTCACAAAGAGTGATTGTTGTGGGGGGTGGGGGCTGCTGTCTGCCGGGCACACTCTGCTGCCACTCTGCCTGTGTTATCTCATCCGATCCTCCCAGCATCCCCACGAGGTAGGTATTACTTTACAATTGCAGAAACTGGGGCTCAGAAGGTTCAGAAACTTGCCCGAGAGCACACAGCTAGCAAGTGGCAGAGCCTGAACTCAACCCAAAGCCCCGGCTCCTGAACCATCCTGATCCATTCTGCCATTGCACGGAGCAAGCAAGGCCTCCAGAGTCCTGAGACCTGGGTCTAGACAGTGCTCTGCACTAACTAGCACTGTGACTTTGGGCCACTTGGTTCACCGTGTTAGTTAACAGGAGCCTGGCCGGCACCCAAGACGGCCAGTGATCTTGTTTAATGGTGTCATCAGCTCCTCAGCGCAGAGTTAGATTAGAAGGAGGAAAAAACCTCAGCCTGGTGGGGGTTGAAATACCTGGGCCGCAAGGTTCCTTCCAATGCTTTGCTTCTGTGGCGAGAGGGCATTTCCCACACATGGCTTTTGTATACCCATTGTATGCACAACATCGAACTCGGCTGAATAGAGACCCAGACCTTTCAAGCAGAACATGTGTAATAACCAGATGATGTAACAACCAGAATGATCAGTGTTGATAGTCCTCTGTGGCCTGTGGTAGTCAGGGGAGGGTGGGCCTGGTTCCAGAACCTCAGGACGGTTGGCACTCTGATTCATGGAAGACCCCGGCTGCTTTCCCCACCTCCTGACAGTTCTGCTCAGGCTTTGTCTGCTCATGACAGTGAGGGCAGAAGTCCACAAGGTTGGAAAGGGACAAGAGGACCCTGGGAGTTATGGTTCTGCTCCCCCAGTGGCCATGAGTAGAACATCCAGGTTTCTGTCCAATTATAGAAGGAAAACCCCAGTTGGGAAGGATCAAGTCAGGGATCAGTGCCAAGGGGAGGTGAGGAGAGGAAGCAGTTCTGCCCTCATCCCTGCTGCCCTTGACTTGCAGACTTCAGGGAATCCTGGCTCAAGGTTCCCAGATAACCTCTCAGCAAAACCTCAAGTTTCCTTAAAATTCTCAGAATGATTCAGAAGCACCCTTTGGTTCATCCATGGGCTCTCTCTCCCTGTTCACCCATTCATCCATCTATCCTCCAACTGATTCATTTTTCCCACCCTCTCATCTAATAGTCCTCCTATTAATTTATCTTCCATTTATGAGCTCATCCCATCTGTTTCTCCCATTCTCGCATTTGTCCTCCCCTCCATTCATCCTTCCATCCAGCTTCCCATTCTTTTATCTTCCTGTGTGTCTGACCTTCCATACACTGACATGTGCATGCTTCCAGCCAGCCATCCCATCAGCCATTCCCCCATTCATCCACGTCTCCGTCCTCCATGTTTATTGACCTGTCCATCTTTCCATTTATTTTTCATCTATTCATCTGTCCCCCATGTGTCTATTGATCTGCTTATATACTCATCCAGTGTCCCATCCACCTATCTGTCCTCTTCCCGTTCTCCCTTCTCTCTACATTTTCTCTATCCACTTATCCATCCATCCGTCCACCGATCTTTCTATGTGTCTATTCCAGGGGACTTACCTCTTTCCATCCTTCTCTCCTCCATCCATCCATTCATAGATTTATCAATGCATAAGATTAATGAGACAGAGAACTCAGGGAAATTATGATTTAGTAGGTGGATGACCATATGGAAACACAGCAATCCCTAGAGCAACAGTGAGCACATCACAGTTTGGGAGTGACCCCAGGGCCCAGAGGAGCATCCTGAGGCATCTGGCCTGCATTCTCCTGGGGCAGGCTGCGAGCGCTGTCCTCTCCTCCCCAGAACACTCCTGTTTACAGGGCTTTGCAGCCTGTGAAATGCTGTCACACGTGGGGGAGATTTGAAGTGGTTGGTACTGTCCTCCTGGATCCACAAAGCTGCTGCCCCTGCTCATCAGCCTGTGGGGCTGGACCTACAACTTGGGGCAGAGTCAGTCTCCCCTCCGAAGGCCTTGTAGGCACAGAGCAGGGCAGAGCCTTGCTCGGGCCTTCCTTGAACCACTCTGGTCCTGTGTCTATACTGCACATTGGCCTGGGGAATCTGGGGCCCAAGATGGGGACTTCTCTAAAGAAGCCAGGCTTGTGGCTCCCAGGTCCCTGGCCAGTTGACTTCCCTACTCTTACTCCTGTCCTCTCTCCATTCCCAATATTAACTTTGCCCTGTTTCCTCTTCCCAGACCCTAAGATTCTGCCCTGCGTGCTGCCTAGAAGTGTCCTCAGCTGGAAGGGCATGCTCAGTACCTATCCCCCCCACCCCACCCCCGTGTAGGTTAAGCCCCCCATGTCATCCCAGCACTTGAGATGACTAATAATCCTGTCTGATGAGTGTCACCAGCCCCTGGGCCCAGACTGAAATCAGAAGCAGGAAAAACCTATTGCACTTGAGTAATTTCTTTTTTGTTTTCTTTTTTAACCAGCATCTCACTTCCTCATTATACCCTTTGTCCCTCACAGCCCCACACCTACCCCACCCCAGCTCCTGTGTACCACCTTGAACAGCAGCTGTGGCTGCACATCTTGGCCTGAGCACGGGAACAGAGGGATGCCCCAGTCCCTGCTCAGCCCCTGCAGCTGTCAGGGCCTCGACTGGTCTGAGAAACCATGGCCTGCCAGCCTTCACAAGCCCCAGGCCCACCCTAGCCCCCTGCCCTACAGCCAAGCCTGAGTCTGTTCTGCTTTCTTTCCAGGGAATCTGACTAAGCACATGAAGTCGAAGGCCCACAGCAAAAAGTGCCAAGAGACCGGGGTGCTGGAGGAGCTGGAAGCCGAAGAAGGTAACAAATTGCCACCCTCCTTCCTCCTTCTCCCCTCCTCCCCATTTCCTTGTCCTCCACCTTTCGCCCTTTGTCCTCCCTCTCCTTTCTGTCCGCCTCTCCCCTGATCCCCCTTCTCCTTTCTTTCCCTCCCTTGCCCTCCCCTCCAGTTTTCCCACCAACCGGGAGACAAAGGTTAAATTCACAGGATGCCCGACCCCACTCCCCACAGTGCTGATAGCACCTGCTGTGCAGCTGCAGCATTGTGCACCGTGGTTTCCCATGCAGGTGGAGTGCCTGGCACCCCACGGTGCTCGATGTGTGTTTACTGAATAAATGAACATAGTAACTCTAGCCAACATTGACTGAGCAGCCACTACGTGTCAGGCATGTTCTAAATGCATGCCCTGAATTATCTCAGCAAAGCGTCACAATGACTCTGTGGGGCACATACTCTGAGAAGCTCCACACGCACATGATGCCTGCGCACTCTGCCATGGACCTGACACATGGGCCTTTCAGAGCTGGGAGGGTTTCAAGAAAGCCAAATCCAGCCCTGACAGCCCCCCAGCCCCATCCCACCACCATGCCCAACCATGGTCCTCCATCACCAAGAGGTGTGTGAGAGCTCATCTCTGAGAAGACAAAGGGAGGGGTACAATGAGCCCAAGGCAGTGGATCCGGCTGGCACTGTCCAGCCACAGCATCCAAAGGAGGCCAGAGGAGCTCTGGCAGAGGGGCTGGGCAGGCCCCCAGCAGTGGGAGGCTGGAGACATTCCTCCAGCACTGGCGAACCTTCAACCACAGATTCCCTGAAATCAGTGGCAGGAGTTAGTGAGACAAAGAGGTGTGCACATGCACGTGTGTGTATCTTGTTCCGTTTTTGTTTTTCTGATTTGGGGATGTATTTGCAGTCTTACAAAACAGTTAAGTCATATTTCCTTTTAGGTGAAATAAATCACCTTTATAGAACTTGGGGCTGTTCCCCCAAAAACTAAAATTTGGGGTTACAATGCTCGTCAAGAACGCCCATCAGGTCATTTACAGATGTTGTCTCATAGAGTCCTCATAACAGCTGGTAGAAGCTTGTGTTGCCCCATTTTAAGTCGAGGAAAGTAAAACCAGACAGGTCAAGGCAGTTGTCCAAAGTCACACAAAGAACACCGGCTCCACACACGCCATTGCCGGAGCCAAACCCACAGCCCTCCCCAGGTGGTCCCTGCCCTCCTCCCAGCCTCATTTTCCCAATGGGGCAAACAAGGAAGATCGTACCCACTTTTTATGAGGATGAAATCCGTGCATTCATTCCAGGAGTAGTTAATGAGCACCAGCTCCGTTCTGGGTTCTGTTCCAGCTGCTGGAGATTCCGCAGTGAGTAAAACACAGCTCCTGTCCTCAGGAAGCCTACATTCCAGAGGGGGGTCCGGGCAATGAGCAAATGTGGAATGGAGCAGGGCGAGGAGGAGGAAGCAAAAAGTAAAAGGCCGAGGAGCCAAGAGAGGGGTTGGGACGCGTGCGGAGGCCGTTCTGTCGGACAAGGTGGCGTGAGCAGGGACCCTGGATGCAGCCGAAGGTCCGGAAGTCAGACAGGGTCTGGGAAGGGCCCTCCCGCAGAGGGAGCAGCAGGTGTGGAGTCCCTGAGGGCCACAGGGTTGGCCCGCGTGGCTGCAGAGGGTCCAAGAGGGCCGGGCCGTGAAGGTCAGGGGGCGGACTGGGCTGCCCCGGGTGTGCGGGGACGTCCACCGACGCGGGACTCTGGCTGTGTGCGGGAGCGGCCGGCAGGGGGCGCAGGGGAGGCGGTGAGCCAGGCCAGGCGCAGGTTGGCGCGGACCGGGTGGGCTCCGTCGGAGCCGGTAGGATTCGGGGGTACATTTTGGAGGTAGAGCCCGTCGGTTTTGCTGACACATCGTGTGGGGAGAGGGGAGGCAGGAGGGGAAAAGGAGCCAAAGACAATTCCGAGCTTTATGGCCTAGGAGAATATAAGGCTGGAGTTGCCACCTCCCACGATGAGGCACGTTCAAGGAGCAGCACCAGAGTTCGTGTCCGCTGGACACGAAGCGGCGACACGCGGGGACCGGTGGTGATGCGCATCCGCCCCGCTGGCGATGAGGCTGGGCGCCAGCGCCCCCGTGTGGCGTATGCCGGCGGTGGCTGCTGTGCGCTTCACTCCGTCTCCTTACGCGGTCGCGGACCCCCGAGCGGCGGGCGGGTGGGGCTTGTTGAGCGTCGGTCTGGAACCAAGCAGTGACGCGGCAGCTCCACGAGGGGCGTTGGGAATGGGCCGAGCAGGCAGGGGCGTCCCTTAGCGCCCTGCAGGAACCCAGAGGCGGAGGGCCTGGCGTGCGCTGGGTAGGTGCCAAGGACAGGCCACAGCCCACCCTGCTGGCCATCAGGAGGTGCTGGTCCTGATTCTGCCTCACCAGTAGCACTACCCCTCCGACCTCCATCTGCAGAAAGCTCACAGTGCTGGCCACAGCTACCTGCCTGCTGTGATGGGGGGCGGGGGTAGCGCGAGATGGTCATAGCTGCGGTTCATGGAGTGCTTACTATGTGCCAGACCCTCACAAGCCTCACAGCAGCTCGTGAGGTGGCTTTATTACTCTTACCCCCACTTTACAGATGAGGAGACCGAACAGAGAAAGTAACTGATCCAACATCACACAGCAAAGAGGTGGTGCTGCTAAGATTCAAACCCAGACCGTTTCCTGCTCCTCCACACATAAAATCATTTTCCACCTGTCAACATAATAATACAAGGGTTGTAAACTTTAGTTCTGACTCAGCCACCAGCCGGTTGGATGATCTTGGACAAGCCTTTGTCCCCTCTGTGCCTGGATTTCACCATAGGTATATGAGGGGCGGGGCTAGGTGAACTCCAGGTAGGCCCCTGCCACAGTCCTAGGCAAGGGCAGTGAATGACCACCCCCATCCCTAGCCCCATCGCTACTCCCATCCCACCCCCCCATGCCCCTCCAGTCTTTCGTCATTGTGCTGACAGCTACCAGCAGACCCGGCCCTCAGCCTCCCTTTGCCTGCCACCCATCCCAGGTCCACCCCGTAGTTTTTGACCTACATCCTATTGGATGCCCACTTTTGTCCATTTTGAGTATCCTACTGCTGCGTGTTGAGTTACTTGGGAGCCCTAATACAGAACTTGCTGGCCACAGGGCAGCTGGACATGGTGGAGACCCAAGCCTGGTTGCACCAGCAACCTGGGTCAGCTTCTGTATCCAGCTCTCCTGGCCAGTAGTGGGTGCAGTACTGGCATGTGTGAGTGATGAAGCTGGCTGGCTCAGCCCACCTGTCACCAGCCTCACTCTGCCGGCCAAAAACATTGGTCATGACAGTCTAGTGATGGGCCAGCAGGACCCAAACCCTCCAGGGCCCAACAGGTGGGCCCAACATTAGTGGAGCTCTCCCCAGCATCCAGATTGCTCCCCAATTCAGAAATGCTCAAACTAGACTCCTGACATGTTAGAGGTGACCTGGAGGGGGGGGCCGCCACACAAGAAACCAGACCAGAAGGCTGGTATTCCAAAGCCCCATTTCCCCCAGCTGGGAGCAAGATGGGCTTCAAAGGGGCAGTGGCTCCTCTGGACAAGAGCATGGCTGGGAGGGGGCCCTGTTCTGCAGGCTCAGGCCAGCTTAGCCAAGCCACCCACAGAGGCCAGAGTCTGCCACTTGCCGGCAGCAGTTGAGGTCGCTTTTATTACTATCACTTCCATTTTACAGATGAGGAAACTGAACACAGAGAGACACATCTGGTCAGGTGATAGATGTGTGTTTAGATTGACCATGGTTCTGTGCTGCTAGACCAGCCGGCAGGCCTGCTGTGTCCTAGAATAATAGATTTCATCTTTACTATAGTAACAGTGACTATAATTATTTGAGCCCTCGCTATGTGCCAGGCCTGTACTTACTTGTCTTAGCAAAACCTGTGAGGTGAGACTATTGCATTCATTTGACAAAAGGGGACACTGAGGCACAGCAACATAACTCGTTCATGGTGAAGCCTGCACTGAGATCCTAATGAAAAAAACAAAACCTGTCTCACTTGCTATGGTTCAATCCCAACCCTACTACTACGGTCCTTGGGCAAGTGACTTCATCTCTGTTACCTCAGTTTCCTTGTCTGTAGCACGAAGATAAAAATAGTACTGACTTCACAGGATGCTTTGAGGATTACATGAATTAATATACCTAAAGCCCTTCAAACTGAACCTTGCACATTGTAGACACAAGGTAATAATTGTTCACTGTTGTTATTTACAAAGTGTTCTCCTGTCTGTAATGTCCCATTGTGACATTGCCTGGCTATTATGTCCAGTTGGCAGATGAAGAAATTGGGGATTAGGGAGGAGTAGCCGTGGGGCCAGCGCAGCCCCAGGGCCCGGCTGTGACCTTGAGTTTCCTGTGTTCACCCGTCAGGAACCAGTGACGACCTGTTCCAGGACTCAGAAGGGCGAGAGGGCTCGGAGGCTGTGGAGGAGCACCAGTTTTCAGACCTGGAGGACTCGGACTCAGACTCGGACCTGGACGAGGATGAGGAGGAGGATGAGGAGGAGAGTCAGGACGAGCTGTCCAGACCATCCTCAGAGGCGCCCCCAACCTGCCCACCAGCCACGCTGCAGGCAGACTCCTCACCTGCTCCGGGCCCTCAGCCCCCAGATGCCACCTCCAGCAGCGAGGCCACACGAGGAAGCTCCATCTCCGAAGCTGAGCTCTTGACAGCCAGCAGTTGCTCCACGTCTAGCCAGAGCATCCTGGGCCTCCCCCGGCTGGGACTGGCCCCTTCAGACCCTGTGGAGAAGGACATGAGCTCAGCCCTGAGCTCCGAGGCCGTGTCCCCAAGAAGGCCGTGGTCCCCAAGCAAAGAAGCAGGCAGCCGCCCGCCACTCGCCCGCAAACACTCACTAACCAAAAACGACTCGTCTCCCCAGCGATGTTCACCGGCCCAAGAACCACAGGCCTCAGCCCCGAGCCCGCCTGGCCCCCACATGGGCCCTCTGCCTTGTGGGTCTCCAAGACTTGAGCTGTCACCTCTCACCCCCCGCCCCCTGGGAAGAGAACTGCCTCCTCGAGCACATCTGCCCCCTGCATTCAAGGGCACCACAGACCCAGGCCCCACCAGACACTCGCCCACCAGGAGACGATCCCCAAGTCAGGCCGAGTCACCGCCACGGTCAGTGCTGCCAGGGAAGTGGGCCTTGGCTGGGCCAGGCAGCCCCTCCCCGGGCGAGCATGGCCCAGGCTTGGGGCTGGCCCCGCGGGTTCTCTTCCCGCCCGCGCCTCTACCTCACAAGCTTCTCAGCAGAAGCCCCGAGACCTGCGCCTCCATGTGGGTGAGTTCCTGCCCCCGTGGGGGCGGGGCCACTTCTCCCCTATGGGGGGAGGGGGTTCCAAGTTCACACCTTCTGAGGTTTCACACCTGGAGCTAAAGGGCTCCGCCAGTTCAGTAGTTGCTGATGATGTAGCGAACATTTACCATGCTGAGCACCTTAAACACACTGGTTGGTTGAACTTTATCTTAGCCTCAGAAGCAACAGAGCAGGACTCTGGAGTTCATGGGTTCTGGGCTCTACCACTTGCCGATGGTGTGGCCTTGAACGTGGGTGTAAATACTTGTCCTATTCCCTGCCCGCCCCATCCCTACCCATTCTTTGAGCAGATGGCAGAGTGTAACCAAAATCACCACCATCTCCACCATCCCTGCCACCACACCCTCAGAGACAGCACCCCCATCTCCATCCCTGTCAAACCACCACCACCGTCCCTGGTGCTGGTGCCATTTCTGCCATCAGTGCACCCCAACACGCCATTGATACCGCCCCACCAGCTTGATCAGTGTTGTCACTTCATTAGCACATCACCGCCCCCCCCACCACGACCACCATGACTCCCACCGTCCACAACACCATCATTGTCAACTGACCTTTACCTTCCAATACCTTTTCTGTCCCCGTGTTGTCACGACCCAATACCGTCACTCCTGGAGGAGCACTGATCTAGGAATCTCTCCTTGATTTTTAATTTTGTGGTCACATTAAAGTTCCTGGTGGTGGGAGAAGGTCAAGAGCCTTGGGTGGGGAATCACGTCCAAGGTGAGGTTGGGTCAAGACCATTTTAGGAACAGGAGAGACAGCAGAACCAAGATGGAGGGCCAGGTTCATGTGTGACGACAGGACCCCACCTTGCTCAGGCACCCCTCTCCTCCAAAGACTGATGTGCTGGCCAGAAGCAGGGAGGCCACGGGTCACCATAGGGCTGGAGGTGGCCCATTCCAGAGAGGGCAGCCAGCACCGGGGGGCGCCGTGGGCAGGGAGTCAGGAACTCAGCCAGGACTTGCTCTGTGATCTAGACCTCACCTGTCCGTGGCCTGGCCTCGGTTCTGCATATGCCCGGCATGTAACCCTCACCTTACCCTCTCTTGTTTTCTGACCCCAGCAGAAGGCCGAGTCCCGAAGTCCCTCCTGCTCGCCTGGCTCTGCTCATCCTCTCTCCTCCCGACCTTTCTCCGCCCCTCATGACTTCCATGGCCACACCCCGGCCCGGACAGAGGAGAACATCTTCAGCCACCTGCCTCTGCACTCCCAGCACCTGACCCGCACCCCGTGTCCCTTGATTCCCATCGGTGGGATCCAGATGGTGCAGGCCCGGCCAGGGGCCCATCCCACTTTGCTGCCAGGGCCCACCTCAGCTTGGGTCAGTGGCTTCTCAGGGGGTGGCAGCGACCTGACAGGGGCCCGGGAGGCCCAGGAGAGAGGCCGCTGGAGTCCCACTGAGAGCTCATCAGCCTCCGTGTCACCCGTGGCTAAGGTCTCCAAGTTCACACTCTCCTCGGAGCTGGAGGGCAGGGACTACCCCAAGGAGAGGGAGAGGACGGGCGGAGGCCTGGGCAGACCTCCGGAATGGGAGCCCTGTGGGGCCGAGGTGCCTGCAGAGTCTGCGCCCATGCACAGCCCCTGCACCCCATCCGAGGCCTTGCCCCGGCCGCCCCAGGGCCACCAGCCAGCGCAGTCCTGGAGCTCCCACTTGGAGTCACCACACATGCTGGCCAACCCCGAAGCCTCTGCCACCCCGCCACTGGACCGCAGCAGCTCTGTGGGCTGCCTGGCAGAGGCCTCCACTCGCTTCCCAGTCCGGAGGAGGAACCTCTCTGGGGAACCCAGGACCAGGCAGGGCTCCCCTGAGCCCTCGGGAAGTGGGGAGCCCAGGGCGCCTCCACACCAGCCCAAGGACAGGGGCCCGCCGAGCACTTAGCCTCTCTCCGACCGCTTCAGCATCTGGCTTCCAGTGTTCGGCAACAGACGTTTCCAGCCAACTTCCTCGAATCATCTTGCCCTCATGGGCTCCCTCTCCATCTGTCCATCTGTCCAAGCAGCTTCTGCTCAGTGCCATCTGTTCTATCTCCCCATGTATGCAGTTACCTGTGCCTTTTTCTATACCCTTCGTTGCTTGAAAAGGAACAAACAAATCACACACATACATAAAAAAAAAAAAAAAAAACCCATGAGGAGTTTGAGGCTGTGAATAGTTTGTGCTTTTTGGAGAAAGGCTGTAGGGGGAGGCTCCCTACCCTCTGCCTCTGCAATTGGCAGCCCCACACCCACCCCCCCCACGGCTGGCAAGGGGCAACCACTTGCTGAGGGAAAGGGGAGGCACTGAGAGAGAAAAAAAAAGGAGAAACTTTAAAAAATATATAATTAAACATAAAAGCAAGCACTCCTATGTACAGATGTTTATGGTTCCTATTTATTGCCGCTTTACCCCACACTGCTAGTGGCCGCCACTCTCTGCCAGCAGAAGAATCAGTGGCCTGAGGCAGAGGGACACAAACACAGGCAGGGAGGTCCCATCCAGCCTCCACAGGCAGGTCCAGAAAACTCTTTTACTTTTTTTTTTTTTTTTTTTGTGAGAAAAGAAAATGTTACTTTTCTTCGGATTTCAACACAAAATAATAGGAGCAGGTAGAAGGTAGGAGCTGCTTGGTTC